CCGGTCTCTCATTATCATCCTCATCAGTCTGTGTATTTAAGCCCTCTGTTTCTACTCGTTCACTGTCATATCATTGATGTTATGTTGTCCTTCCCGTGTGTTCCCTCAGTTCAGTCCACCATTCAGTTGTCCAGCCAGTCAGTGCCCCTTCACCCACTCCTTATAATAAACCTCACCTACCTGCCAGTCCTGCGTTTGGGTTCCTTCTTCCTCGCCTCCATACAACGCCTGACAGACATTATGTTTGGTCCATCTTGGATCACCAGGTTGCACCTCAGACTGTCCAGGAGCTTAGTGATGCCCCAGTCTAAATCTGGGACCAGATTCTCAATGACAACATACATCATCTCATTAGGAGCATGCCCTTACGTTGGTATTTGGCCTGCATGAAGCACATGGGAGCCACATAAACTATTTAGTACCAGTTTTAGTTGCAGCAATGACATTTTGGTGAAATAAACAAGCCTGCCACAAAACATTTCACTTTAAATTTCAGGGTGTCTTTGAATTCAGCCCTCTGTATGTTGATCATTTCCATTTCCATCAAACAATGTTTCATTCCTAACATATTACCCAGTCCATAACAGTATACTGTAGATATCCAGCATCATTCTTTCCCTATTGAGATCTAATGTGTTTTCCAAGTGTTACTTTTATTGAGCAGTGAGCAGTGTGTACTTCTAACATCAGCATCTGTTTATCTAAAGTTCAGCTTTTGCCATTATATTGTGACCAGTTCTTTTCAGGGAGATGACTTCATGGTCTTTGGTGGGTAAACACATTAGAAAGCAGTTGGATATAGTAAAGAGCATCAGTAGGTTTGAATGACTTTGTTTGTTCAATAGAAAAAGGTTAAAAATCAGAAAGTGGGTTAATCTGACACAATTAAACAGCATTTAGTTTTGTCTTCCTATGAAATGAATTATCTTCAGTTTGATCTACAGACAGAAAGTATCTCTTACTTAGTGTCTGAGGGTCTAGGTTCAGTGTTGAACACTGGAGGCTGAGCTTTGGACCAGTCACTCTTTATAGATAGACAGCTGGTTCCTGGATACTCTGCTCTGTAATCCTCTTGATGCAGATCCCTCATTTTCAGTGCACCTGAGAGAACCCGGCAACACTGAAAGACAAAAACTTCACACCTAGAACAGGAAGTAACACACACATACACACTGCAGACAGGAGTCTAGAGTGTAATAAACCAAGCTGACAATTCTCATAAATGAGCAGATCCTTATTTTCTCTTGCAGTCCACGGAGAAACAGCAGACTCCACGTTTATTTTCCTCCACCATGCTCCTGTGTATGTTATGTCACAAGCGTGTGTACCAAATGTGCTACAGGTACAAAGATGTTCAGAATTGAGGCACATCTTTTCATTCAAAAACAATTGTTTATGATTATTCTTACACCATATAAATGCACAATAACAATTACCTTCTTTCCCTCCTTGAGCTCCATTTCTGTAAAATGAAGTTTGAACTCTAAATACTTTCACTATTGAGCAGAAAACCACTTCCTGCCATCTCAATTTTCAGGAAATCACATGCATGCATTACTGTACACGAGAACTGTTTATTACCGAACAAAGCCACGCAGTTACAGCAAGTCTGCCACACAGAAAATGGATGAATATTTTTCTTGGTTTTATGGAAACTCAGAACCTGTAGAGTTACTTGGAGATCCTGTGATACACCACCTAAATGGTTTTCTCACTTATCATTTGGAGATTTTCTTTGATCCCTCACTGACACTGAATCTTTTGTAAAAACAAACAAACAAACAAACAAACAAACAAACAAAAAACAAACAAACAAAAAAAGCAATAATTGAAAAAAATAGGAGTAGAAATGACATACACTATAGGTAAAATGTCAGCTATTCTGGTGGTTAACATGGAATAAGGTCAGTAAAGTGAAAACTGTTGCAGTTTTTAGCGCTACAGTCGTGGATGTTTATGCTGCTAGCCTGCTAGCCTAAAGTTCACATGAAGACTACACCTTTGAGTTGAGGGATAGTGGTGGGGCACCAATGTTAGCAATACCTTAGTGCGCTTAGAAGAAAGTTACCTGCTCTCTGTGAATCTAATGTGACTAAAAATGTACCTGTTTGGGGATTACATTCAACAATTTCCTAACATGTACAGTTCAGAGACTTGTTCAGAGAATGATACAAATGTTGTTATAAGTTTACAGTCCTAAACAGCCTGTCACTTATGGAATCTGAGCTGTCTGGGTTAGACTTTAACAACTTGATCAGTGATTGTTCTCCTGTCATGGTGATCTGTCCTCTAAGGCTGAAATGGTTCTGATTCTGGACTGAACTAAAAGCCTTTGAGGTCTTACAGTGGCTTCGGGAAGTTGTGGTTCCTCTTCCCTTTTCTGCATCTGTGGCCACAGCAGCTGAGGGTTGAAGGTTTCCCGGAGAGTTTGAAATCTGCCCTGACAAGCTGGAAATGTATTCCCCTTCGGCGTTTTTGCAGTAAGGCTGAAGCAGCTGAAGGAGCATGTGAGACAGTATACATTCTCTCTGTATGGTGGCTAGATCATTCGGATCTCTTATTGTCTGAACATTTTTGTCATTTTCTTGTTCTGGCTCGACTGCATGAACTGTCCTATCTTGCGGACTGAGATAGGTCTAAATAAGGCTTAAGGAGACAGCTTGACCTATCACAGTCCCCCGCTCAGGGAGTGCCCCTTTCCTTCTGAAAGAGCAGGAAATTTCAGGCCAGGGCTTGGAGCTCTGAATGGATTCATCAGTTTTATCCCCTGAGCAGTTTGACATGCACACTTCCCTCTTCTCATAAGAGTCAGCTGGGCACTTGTTAAACAGTGCTCTCTGGTGGCCAACTGCCTGCAGTACAAAGATATTCAATGAGAGTGGTTAAGAAAGGACACACATTTAAAGCTTATTTCCTTTTTGTTCCTCAGGCTGTGTAAAGAGTGACTGTTAACCATCAAAATGTTAGACCTAAAAAATTTATCAATTTGATGAAGTCATGGCTCAGACATCATAACAGGCCTCTGGATACTTACATGGAAATCTATCTACACATGAGCTTAAGCAGCCAGAAAGAAATAGAAATGACTGTGAACTCTACTCCTGTTTGTAGCTCGTCTTCTGTCTCGATATTTGCATGTTTCTGTCACTGAATGACAGACAATTAATCACAAAAACTGTCATCTCAAGGCACTTTATATTCTAAGCTGGAGACCTTACAATAATACAGAGAAAGCCCCAACATTTAGATGACCTCCTATGAACAAGCACTCGGTGACAGTGGGAACTAAAAACCTTTAACCTTTTAACAGGAAGAAACCTCGGGCAGAAGCAAGCTCAGGGAGGGGCAACCATCTGACCAACCGGTTGGGCTTTAAGACAAGCAGAGACAGGACAAAAACACACTTTGGGAGAAAGAGCCAGCGATGATTAATTATTATTTATTGTTAATAATTAAATGCTGTAATGGTGTGGAAAGAGCTGAGTGTCTGTGAAAACCAGGGGTGTCTGTGCTGCTCTTTTGTTTTTGTAAGTCGTTGATGTTTACATCAGAAAAATCAAACATGACAAAAACAAGAGACCCACAAGAAAATGTAGAATAAAAAAAATTCTTTCTAAATATTTAAAATGCTGTTTTATTTATTTATATATGTGTGTATGTGTACAAAAACACTGAGTGGAGTAAGATAAATGAGTCCACATTGTTTAAAAAAAAAAAATAATTGCTTTACGAAAAAAAAACCAAAATGATTGCTGCAGCTTTATTCAAGACGACTTCAGGCCGAAATGAGTTGTTGGCATGTGTGAGTTTTCTTTTGAGTCCATGCTTGAATGCCACTGACTGCATAACCCTCATTTCTTTTCTTAAAAATGGGAGGAGCTTTTTTTCCTTAAAACATTTTTACAAAAGTTCTAAAAGTTTAGCGGGACTTTTAAAAATAAAAATAAGATAAAAAAGTGTTGGAAATATATATAGAAAACACATTTAAAACTCAAAATGTAAACTTTGAATTCAAATAATTAAACTTTTAATTTTTAGTAGTCCTGGCTGCACCAGTTCTCTTTTGGAGAGATTTGAGCTTCACTTTCACATCCCTTGTCTTTTGTATGTAATGAACATGAACTTCTGCATTCTTAACATGTGACAAAAATAATGATTTCTGATAAAAGTTGATTCTAAATGAAAGCCACAAGTCAAATCTTGGAAAACTGAAAACATTTCTTAACTTCAAAGCAAGAACAACTAAGATAAATAAACAGTAGCATAAGAACAATGTTTATGTATCAGAAAAGCTGTGGCATTTTTCAGGTTTTCACTGATCTTAAAGGAACAAGTCAGAACTCCTTACAGAGCTGTAAGGCACTTTGGACACAAACCTCAAACTCACGTTAAAATTCAAGAAAAACAAAACTAACAGGACTCCTGGAACTTCCACGCAAAGCCAGCAATAAAGGAACAGTGCATCTTTCTGTGTCTAATATGGTGGAGGGTTGTACAGCTCCTCGTATTTTGGTGGCGATGTGGAGAGGACAGTGGGAACTGTGAGCAGGATGGGGGGTCTGTTGGGGTAACGCATCTGGTGGATCATTGCCGAGGACAGAATTGTGCCGAGCAGCTGCAGGGGACACAGAAAGGAGAGTTAAAAATCAGCTGCTCTGCAGGCTTAAAAATCTTAAATTGATAACATGGAAATTCAACTCAGTTTTCTTTATATAGCACCAAATCACAACAACAGTCTCCTCAGGGTGTTTCATGTTGTCAGCTAAAGGCCCAACAATAATACAAAAAAAAATCTGATCATTCTGTACGAGCAAGAACTTCGAGACTGTAGAAAGGAAAAGGTCTCGAATTTAAAGAGAAATGAGAACTGAACTCAGAGTCAAGATTTTCAGCTAAAATAGATTCTGGCTCTGAGAAATATCAGATTTAGATTTATGGCGCTGGCACGGCTGGCAACCTTAACCCAATTTCCCTCGGGATGAATAAAGTATTATCAATCAATCAATCAATCAATCAATCAATCAATCAACACGCGCGCACACACAATGAAACAATTCTATTTTTATATCAAAATAATCATATTTATCTTTTTCTGGGACTTGGTGAAAGTTCATTCTCCAACTAACACAAACATTTCCTTCTGGTTTCTCGTTGCTTTTATTTGATTGGCTCCCCACCCACTCGTTCTTCAAACAGAAGCTTTGATGAACAACTTGGTTTGGCTTCTCTGCCTGAGATAATGATACAATATTTTATGTTATTATTTTATTGTTTCCTGCAAAGACCTGGATTGGTACACATGATTATAGGCTACTTGTGGCTTAGTCATGGGTCCTACAGTGTTTTATTGTTTCGTGTGTCTTTCAGGTGACTCCATAATATGACTCGCATTCCAGAAAGTACAGAGTACTTACTGTGTACTTGCCTCATTGTTTCCTGCAAAACCTGACTTGTTGCCTGCAAATTGCATGCAAGTACAGGGTACTTGAGCCGTATTTGCAGGTTGTGTTATAAAGTGCTACCAAAAACTGAACAACTAGATGTGTTATACACGCAATGACCTCATTATTTGAAACTTTTCCATGTTTACTATGAGCGGCCACCTCAGGAACAGGAATTCCAGGTGTATTTGGTTAGAATGAAACCGAACTGAGAACATTTTACTGAACTCACTTAAACTAAAAAATAGTTTTGACTGAAATTTCATCACAGAAATGTTTCTTTTTATTGTCACAGATCAAATGCTGATCTTCTGGAGCATGTGGCATTTTCAAGTATTTGAAACATGATTTTAGGACTTCATGATCATTTTTAAAGAGAAACAGTTTCGGTTATTATTTTGTAAATCAAAAATAACAGTGACTGATGTAAACGTGACACTCCCCATCAAGACAGAAGCTAAATGACTGGCCATTTGTTTTTTCAGTTTTAAAGGATCATTACAGATCACATGGTAAATAATAATGGATTGGATTTATATAGCGCTTTTCAAGGCACCCAAAGCACTTTACAATACCATTATTCATTCACACACTGGTGGAGGCAGCTAAGTTGTAGCCACAGC